GATATATTATACCCCCCAAATAACCCAGTTCCAATGTTTTTGCCCAGGGCTTCCGTATTGCACCGGAATTCTGTGGGTATAAAAGCAAATTAACTCAAGGTCAGATGGTCATGACCTCCCAGTGCTCTTTCTTTCTTCCTTAGGGAGATGAGTCCCAATCAGACACATTGTAGATTTCACTGCCTCTAATCTTCTATAAACAGTTGTTACATGAAGAGAGATAGATTATTCTACATGTTCTCAAAAGAGATATAATTTTGCATTTTTCAGATGCCTGGGATTCTTTCTTAGCCATGCCCTCCTCCTAATGGCTTTCTCCTAGACACATATATATTCATTATCCTAACATTCTTTCTTGTATTCTTCATATTCTTTTCTTTCAATCTCGTCTGTTTCCAATGGTGAAAACAAGTTAAAGCTTGTTTAAAATGATCTCTTTTTCTAGCATTAAACAGGCTGAAAAAAAAGTATCCTGTTTTATTTGAGAAACTAAAGGCAAACTGAAACCATAAGATCAGTCAGCCACTGGACAGAATATAAAAACCTTTCTACAAACTCTAATCAATTAGAAACGCACATTTGTTCTATAGTGGATAATCCTTAGGCAGAGGGTGATGCGTGCATGCTAACTTCTTTGCTCTTAAATGAAACATTAATCGGAGTCAGAGCTACTTAATGTATGGAAATAGTCCGCTGTCCCACAATTACAATTCCTCCATAGTCACTTAGTCCTGGGGAAAGGCTTTGGTTCATATAAAGCACTGATCTGGAGTCCCGCAGGAATACTTCCCAGTGAGAGATGCCCATCTTCCGCACCAAGGCTATCCATCATTAAGAAGGTGGAGCAGAGTCTGTGTGCTTGAAAGGCAACTAAAAGGGTCCTTCCTCTGTATGGATCAAAAATTCAACGTCCATGGGGCACCTGGGTGGCTCAGTCAGTTGAACATCTGACTTTGGCTCAGGTCATGATCTCGCAGTTCATGGGTTCGAGCCCTGTGTCGAGCTCTGTTCTGACAGTTCCGGGGCTGGACCCTGCTTCGGATTCTGTGTCTCTTCTCTCTGCCCCCTCTACACTCACATTTGGCTTCTCTCTCTCTCTCTTTTCCTCTCTCTCTCAAAAATAAACAATAAAAGAATTTAAGAAAAGAATTGAATGTGCCTGATCTATCCTGGCAGACATTAAATATTTTGAGGAGACAACTTGTGCCTTTAACTAGTTTTAGAGTTACAGAGGAGAAACTAATGTAAAATAATATTATGTACTTAATTTATGCTTGTGCTGGTAAATTATAATAAAAAATAATTTAAGTCAATCCTGGAAGTCCCCGAATCATTTTCCCTACAAAAATCGTCTGACTATTGCTCAGATTTGAGAAAAACAAAATGCTGTGGACAATGCCTCACTGAGGATCTAACTGGGATGCATACAGCATTCCTAATTCCTTCATCTTCAGATCTCAGAGGCTGTGATCTACACTAAATAGAATTATTAATCTATATGCTCAGGATGAGTTTCAACCCACCTCATAGAGAAGCACAGCTCTATTTTCGTCTGCTCTATAATCTGGGTTTCTCTGTTAGATTTTACTTAAACCTCTTGAATTCTTTTTAAATGAGAACAATACACCATAGTGCCTTGTTTCTTGTAGAATATCTCAGCTTAGAACAAGCAAAGGACACAAAAGCTATAACCGTATAGGTTAACTTCAAAAGCAGCAGCTCCCAGATGAAACCATCCCAAAGTGCTAGATAATTTTATGGAAGAACTAACCCAAACAGGATGCCTGTTAGTCCTCTGATACACTGCTTTTTAAAGTGGGCATGTAGGATTTGCTTTGATAAATGAGACCAGAGTGATAGCGTCTTTTAAAACAAGGTACAATCCTTTGTTTTAATCTCATTTATATACTTGCATTAAATCAGGAAAGGAATTTCCTTAAACTTGCTTCAACTTGAGAATTATGAGCTTTTCTCCTAGAGTTGAATAGAACAAATGCCATTTTACCTTAAAAATTTTTTTTTATGTTTATTTTTGAGAGACAGAGCGTGAGCAGGGAGGGGCAGAGAGAGAGGGAGACACTGAATCTGAAGCAGGAATCAGGCTCTGAGTTGTCAGCACAGAGCCTGACGCAGGGCTAGAACCCACAAACCATGAGATTATGACCTAAGCTGAAGTCAGATGCTACTGACTAAGCCACCCAGGCGCCCCTGCCATTTTACCTTTTAAGACCCTCAGAATACCTGCAGTATTCAGACTTGTTCTCTTCCTGTACTTTCCTAGCAGTTAGCATTTCATGAACTTATTTCCTTTGCCTTTCAGAATGACCAGATTTGGAAAATGACAAATGGAAATGCTTTGCTATTCAAAGAAGAGGAACCCTTCAGAGTTTGTAAGCAATAAGAGAATCCTCTCCAAATGGGATTCCTTGAGACGAGTATATGCCAAGAACACAAAAGTTCTGTAGATGAATCATTTGTTCTTGCAGTCATATATTCGTCTATGCCATTTGAACATTAACTAGTTGTGAAATCTTTTGCTAGTCTTTGAGGATGAAACGGTGATTTGGTCCCTGCTGTCTTGAGGTTTATGACCCAAGGAGGCAGAAAGCTACTGCACAGGCAATTATAAAGCTATATAATTAAAGTAGGATGAATATTATGAAGCAATAGAATCATGGAATAACGTCCATGGTAGGTCCATTAACTGAGACACTGAACTGTGAAAGATGACCAGGGCTGAGCAGAAATATCACGGTTCCATTTCGGATAATCTAGATTTGAGACAGGCAAACAGGGAACTCAAATAAATACTCAGATACACAGAGAAATCTAGATTGACGATAAAAATTTACGAATCTTTGGCCAATAGGCAATAAGTGGCAGGGGAAAATCAACTTACTTAGGTAGAACCAGTAGCTGAACCTTGAGAAACTCTAGTATATAAGGTTAGGGAGAGGAAGTTAGTTGACAACCGAGACTGAAGAGTGGCCTGATGCCAGAAGCAGATCTACTCCAGAGCTAATGAAGTTTAAGATTCTGAGTCTTTCTCAGGGGTGCTAGACTGGCTCAGTCAGAAGTGCACAAGGCTCTTAATCCAGGATCATGAGTTTGAGCTCCACACGAAGTATGGACATAAAGAAAACTTAAATAGATAAAACTTACCAAAGAAAGATTCTGGGTCGTTCTCTTGCCTGGGAGAATGTTTGGAATGTTTTTACATGGTCATATATTTCTGTAAAAGTTTTCAAAAGAAAGATGTATTTGCTTTTCTTTTCTTAAAGCAGAGCCCCAAATTATAGAAGCTTCAGGTCCCACACACCTGCCCCTTACTAAGAAGAAGGAGCAAAACAGAGTGTGATTGTATGGAATCATGAGGTGGGGGGAAATACTTCAAGAGTGTGTTCAATAGTTACGAATGCATCTGAGAGGACAACGAATATGAGGAGAGAAACATACCCTTTGGGTTTAGGTAAAGGAAGGTTGTCTGGCAAAAGTTCTTTCAGTGCAGTGATGGGGCAAGAAGTCAGGATGCAGTTAGTTTATGTCAAGAAATTTAATGTTGAAGGAAAGAGAAAGTATAGCTGAAGAGAGATGTGCTGGAGAGTAGTATTTTTGCCTGCCTGTCTTCTCTCTCAAGATAGGAAGATTTGAGAGTGATGATTGAAAGATTATATAACAGAGATGTGATTCAGATACAAGGGATGTTTTCCCTTCATCCTAACCTCACTTTCATTTCAAACGACCCAGAGAAGATGAATATCTACGGATGCTGAAGAAATTTAGTCAGTGTTTTTATTTCACTAGAGGGCAAATCTACGCTGATGCCTACTTTTGAGAAAGCACAGTGAGGCCCTGGGATGAGGACACTCCACCCAGGCCACTTGAGTTCATTTTACTCCCAGTCATTTGCACCCAAATGATCTAATTTGAAGCTTATTCATTAAACAGCTCAAATCAGTTTCCCTCTGCAGCTCTGTGTGTTTAAAAACTGTATTTCCCCTTAAATATTTGGTGCATATTGGAGAAATGCAATTGAGTACTGTAAGTAGACCAAACAAAAATTCCAAGTTTGCCACAGAAATCAGAATTTTTAATTCAGGATATTAAAAGAAATTCGTTTAAATACTTTAAACTGGACTTCTGAGTATCTTTGATGTATGCTCTAATATTAGATTTATGTTTTGAGAAAAGGAATACTTTTCTTCCGAGAGAAGGTTCCTGGGACTCAGGAATTGAGGGTATCAGTAACATCCTTAAATGGCACAAAATAGAAATGAGTATGTTTTTCCTGGCACCATGCGATTCTGAACCCTTCTTTCATGTTTATTGCTTCCGTCTGTTAATTGGATGTCTAAGAAGCACACTAGAGTTCTGAAAGTTAGTGAGAATGTGAGATTATTCGCCTCCACGCCCCATGCCTCATTAAAGTGCTTCTCATCACCATCCCATACCACTTACATAAGCTACCCATACAGAAGGCATCCACAAGGCAGTTCACATAAAAGAAACTATAAATATAGGACACCAGTTCCCACAGGCTGCCAGACGTAGCAACGAAAACACAGGCCGCCCGTATTTCATATAAACAATGCACAATTTTTAGTATAAATGTTTAGTATGTCCCGAACATTGCACGGACCACACTTGACCAACATAATCATTCCTTGTTATTGGATATTCCCATCTAACGGGGCGCGAAGCATTTCCTCAAGCAACCGCACAGAACCCCCTCTCCGCGCCTCCGTCCGAGCGCCGGCGGAGCGGGTTTAAAATCCAGGACCCGCGGGGCAGGCCGCGCCCCCTGATTGGCCGAGGCGTAACGCAGCCCCGGCAGCTCCGTCCTCGCCGCCGCCGCCGCCGCCGCCTCCTCAGCAGCCCCGGTCGGCGCAAGTGCGGCGCGCGCGGGGGGGAGGGGGTGCGGCGGCGCGGGAGGCTGGCGTCCGGCCTCCGCCGGCCGGGCGGGATTAAGTTTCTCGGTCGCGCGTGAGTGTCCGTGCGCGTTCATCCCGGAGCTCCTCGCCGTGCCGTTACTTCAGCAGAGGAGAGGGCGAGCGCGAGCGAGGCGAGGCACCCGAGTCCCTGGCGACCCGGGATTCCCAGCCCTCCTCCCCCTCCGCGTCCCCGCCCGCGGCGGCCGCCGCTAGCCGGGTAAGCGGCGCCGGGGCCCGGGCCCAGAGGCCGGAGCGCGCCCCCGCGCTCTGCGCGCGCGCCGGCCGGGAAGGTGCGCGGGCGCCGGGGGCTCGGCGCGCGGGGCGGGAGACGGGCGGCAGGCGGCGGGAGGGGTGCGCTCGCCCCACCCCGCACGGCCGGGCAGTACCGGGAAGCCGCGGCTCCTCCGGCTCTTTAAAAGGATGGGGTCTGGAAGTTTCCTTCGCTGCTGGCATGGCCCCCGAGCGCTAGTCCCAGACCTTTCAGCCCTCCCACCCCCTCTTTGCCGTCGCTTACTCTAAATGGTTTAAAAGTTTTTTTCGTTTTCTTCGCCTGGAGGGTCCCGGGGATGGTGCCAGGAAGGGGAACTGCGGGCCTGGCGCGCGGGCGGGCGCGCGGGGGGCGCAGGAGCCTGTTGCTCGCCGCTGGTGTGGCCGCGCCCCGGGCCGGACGCCCCTCCAGCGTTACGCCGCCCGGCGGGCAGGGTGTGTGGAGAAAGCATCCCCCCCAGACTGGCGTCTCTAGCCTGGTCGTCGGTACCCCAACCGTTCCGTTAATTGGTAGCCGTCCCCCCCCCCCCCCACGGCGCCTGTGCCCTTTCATCCGCCGCCCCCCATGGTGGGAGCAGTTTGCACTCGCAACCCGCTTCCTCTACCTAGCGCCTTTGAGGCGCCTTTGTCTGCGATTCATCGCCGCGGGATGCCGGATGTTTCTCGGGAAGCGCTGTTCGGGAGACGCGTTATGTTTGGGAAGTTGTGTGTGTGTGTGTGTGTGTCTGTCTGTGTGTGTGTGTGTGTGTGTGTGTGTTTCGGGGGTGGTGATGGTGTACATTTTTCCTTGCGTTCCTTGCGGAGGCACAAAGGCCAGGCTATTCTTTCCGGCAGATCACATGGGAATTTAGGCTGGGACTGCCCAACGGAGGAGGGGCCGGGCAACAGAGGGGGGCTGGGGGGCTGGGGGGCTGGGCGCCGCTGCGCAGTGGCTGGGGGCGGGGAGGGGGCGGGGGCGGCTGGACACTTCCATCCGTCTCCGCGGGCGGGGCTTGCGGAGCTTGCTCAGCGTGCGAAGAACCCGGGCGTGGGCGCTGGATGCCTTGCGTGGGGAGGGTGCGGGTGGCAGCTAGTGTTTCTTAGGTAGCATCAGATAAGAGGACCATGACTTCAGCCTAGGAAGAATACTCTCCGTGTACCTTTGCTGTCCAGAGGGGAAGAATCTGAACAGTGTCTAGACGCTGTCATCTAGCTTTGGTGTACAGCCTTGGTGTAAATACCCCTTTTGTGTTTCCCTAGACATCGCTCATTTAGGTGACCTTTTACGGAGTGGAAAAAGAATATCTAAACTAATGAGATTATGGTTTTGGGCTTGGGAGTTTTTATGTGCTGAATGTGGATGTAGGTGACTACAAGGAACCTTTTTAAAGGGTCGAGTCACCTGAATTTATATAATACATGCTTTAGTGCCTGTATTTGAAAAACCGGCAATACTTCAAGTTCCTGGGTTTGAACTTCTAATTCAATGCAAAACTCTGGATGGGTGCACCTTGCCCTTTCCAGAAGGAGGAGCTGAAAGGGTTAGAGGGTGGTGAGGATAATCTAGTCTAGGAGCCCCAGATTTCCAGCTAGCCAATAAGCTAGTTTACGAATGGGCGAGTCTTATCTGTATTGGGGCTCTATCCCTGCTCTGAGTTCATATTAGGGTCTTTTAAAGCTGAGGTCTGTTTAAAGCCATAGGCCACATTGGCCAGCAGCAGCCTGTTTTTCCCCTAAAGTGTAGAAGTTAGAAATGATTTGTACGTTTTTAAATGGTTGACAATTAAAATCAAAAGTATATGTCATGTGAAAATTATATGAAAACCAAATCTTAGTGTGCATAAGTAAAGTTTTATTGGCACACAGCCACACTCATTTCCATCGTGTAGGGTGAATTTTTACTGTCCGTGGTTGTTTACAAAGCTGCAGTGGGAGAATTGAGTAGTAGCATTGTTGAGACATAGATGTGTGTAGCCTTTCAAGTATGAAATATTAACTCTCTTTTTCTTTACAGAAAAAAAAATTGCCAATGTAGAGCAGCCTTCAAAAGTATTGCTTAAGTGCTCTGTCTTGTGATAGGTACATTGTTTAATATCATTGCTTTTTATGCACTGTTTTTGGTATCCCTTGACCTGGCTGACTTTTCCCCAGTAGATAGACAAATTAAGTTTGTGTGCTGGATTTTCTCATTTCCAAGTTTTACTCTCAAAAAGATTTCTTAACCTTTCGGTATTGTTGTGTCAGAATCTAGGATAAAGTGGATTTTCTGATTGGCAGAAATTATGTGCATAGTTTAAACTTAATATAGATAGCTGGGGTGCCTGGGTGGCTCAGTTGGTTAAGCGTCTGACTTCGCTCAGGTCATGATCTCCCAGTTTGTGGATTCGAGCCTTGCATCTGCCTCTGTGCTGACAGCTCAGAGCCTGGAGGCTGCTTGGGATTCTTCTTCTTCTTTTTTTTTTAAATTTTTTAACGTTTTATTTATTTCGGAGAGAGAGAGAGACAGCATGAGCAGGCGATGGTCAGAGAGAGAGGGAGACACAGAATCTGAAACAGGCTCCAGGCTCTGAGCTAGCTGTCAGCATAGAGCCCGATGCGGGGCTCGAACCTAGGAACTGGGAGATCATGACCTGAGCTGAAGTCAGAAGCTTAACCAACTGAGCCACCCAGGTGCCCTGAGGCTGTTTGGGATTCTGTTTCTCCCTCTCTGCTCCTCTCCCACTAGTACTGTGTCTGTCTCTCAAAAATTAAACATTAAAAAAATTAAAAATTTAAATTTAATATAGATAGCCAAATGTCAGGGTGTTCTGCAGTTAGTGCTAGTGACTTCTTACTGCTCTGCTACCTGAGCAGATTGAGAATCACAGTTCTATTTTTTTAGGTAGAGAGCAGCAGAGGTTGGGGGACATCATAGATTTCTTTTTGCAGGAAAGTTACCACTTGAGACAAACCTAGTTTGTGGGGGAGGCTTGACTCTTGACTCCTCCTTCCTAAACATTTGCTGAAACAAAAAATGATGGTTATTCTCATTATATTACTCAGAGGTTGATCATATATGTACATACCTTTGATATGTGTTCCTTTTCATTTTTTTAGCTCCCATTGGTCTTTATTTCCATTTCCTATCTCTCATTTCTGGTTTTCTTTCTTGCTTGACCATACTTCTTCTTTTTGTCACTTAAGCCTGTTGCTTTTGACTTAGGCCGGGCAAGATGTCCGTTACAGTTTTATTTATTTATTTATTTTTTTAAATGTTTATTTATTTCTAGGAGAGAGAGACCGCGTGAGCAGGGGAGGGTCAGAGAGAGAGGGAGTCACAGACTGAAACAGGCTCCAGGCTCTGAGCTGGCAGTCAGCACAGAGCCCGACGCGGGGCTCGAACCCACGAACCGCGAGATCATGACCTAAGCGAAAGTCGGAAAGTCGAACGCTTAACCGACTAAGCCACCCAGGCGCCCCTGTCCATTACAGTTTTTAGTGTGCTTCAGATTCCTGTTACATAGATATTGCCTTGTTTGACCTTAAAGACTTCTTTGTGTTTCAGATACCTTTGAAATCCACATATATCATGAAGAAATGGAGGTTGTCCCCAGAGTGGACCCATTGTCTAGAGTTAAGATTAAGGGATTTAGAAGCTGGCATTCAACAATGAATTGTCTAGAAGTTACCTAACTGCCCTGAGTTAAAGGCAGATTATTTTGTTCAGATTACATTCCAAGTCTGAGATCATAAACTTGACTCTCTTAGGTTGAGTTGCAGGTTGCCTCCATTTTGTACATTTAAAATGCATGCAAAGTACTTTGTGAATTTCTTAAAATATTTTGAAACAAAGTTGATGTGTTGCTCTGGAAATGTCCCCATGCATGCTGGAGCAAACAACACATCTGCCAGAGAGAGATAGTATACATCAAAGTGAAGAAGCAGAAAATGTCCCATAGAATTCAGTACTGCTTGAAGGGACATATGACTGATGATATGTCTTACCATCATTATACTTCCCAAACAGTTGTATGTGCTTTTAAAGTACACTTGGCCTAAAGTAGGAATTCATTTGGTATAGTTACATTGTTATGTACATTATAAACCCCTTATTTATAATAATAAAGGTATTATTTTCTCTTGTAAATTGTGTCCTAAGAAAGCCTCTATTTAAACAGAGTTGGGAAGTAAGGGTTAGTATGGTAAAATTGATACATATGATTAAATAATTATAGTGGGGTTCTGTGTGGGCATATAAGGAGATGAAGAACTGCTTAAATAATCCATTGCCTTCCTGTGGAATATTTTCTGGGAAGATCTGAGGTAGTTATATATTTAATAGATAATAATTAGACTAGGATGTGTGTTGCATTGGGTTAAGCACTGAGGGGAAGATAAAATAAGATACTGCTCTGTAAGCTTACTGGCTTAGTTGAAAAAAATAGTCACACAAAGAAGGGTAAGAATAAGAAAGATTTACACATAGTACATAGTAAAAGTTATAGCATTTCAAAGAAATTAGAGATCAGTGTAGGATTGCTTGCTGGCAGTTTGTAGAGGGCCATCTTCTCCCTGTGTCTTCCAGTCATACTGGATTAGGGGAGCCCCAATGATGTCATTTAACTTTAATTACCTCTTTAAAGCCTCTGTCTCCAAATACAGTGACATTCTGAGGTATGGGAGGTTAGGACTTCAACACGTGAATTTGGGGGCAGTGGGAAGAAGGACACAGTTCAGCACATAACAAAGTTCTTAAAGACCCTTTAGGCTGTAAGCTGGTGGTGACCTTGACAATGGACTGCTTTAGGGTAAGGAGGGAGGACGTGTAGGAGGCTATTGTTTTAGTCTAAATGTTGTTGTGGTAATTTGATGTTTGGGAAGAAAGAGAAACCGCTCTTTGAGGAAGCCTGAGGCCACTTGTTTTCTTTTTCTGGTTCTCACTGAGAAACTGGCCTTTGCTTTTATGGACAGAGCATTACATTAGCTTCCTTT